TCTTTCCCTGTCACTGATGTTTGTGAGAGCCATGAGCTTCTCACATCTCAGGCTCTGCCAGGCTCTGTTCTCTTCTTCTGGATCTGTCTCCTCTCCCCGACTGACTCAGCACTTCTCCTCAGGTCAGTGAGGATTCTAGGCTGTCTGCTGCCCCGTGCGTCAGGCCCAGCAGCTCCCCTCCTACCGTGGCTCCCACCTCCGCCTCCCTGCCCCAGCCCATCCTCTCCAACCAAGGTAATCGCGTGTGTATCTTTCTCCCTGGCAGAGCTGCACGTGCCCTGCCTGGGCCCTGCCTGGGCCCCCAGCTGGGCTGGCGTTGGGGGAGAGATGCCGGCACCTGTTCCCTGCATGGTTCAGATGCAGGGAGGGCATGGTGCTGTCTCCATACCAGCCCCTCTCGGGGTGGCGCATGGCTGGGGGGGTGCCTGGCTGAGGTTTGCTTAGTGAGGACTCCCAATTGCTCTGACACACACATCCAGATCCTCTAGGGTACCACGGGGTGTGCTCTTTGAACTGGCTGCTGGCCCATAAGGACCCCACTGGCTCACAGGCAGTGGGGGCAGACTGGCTCCTTGTTCATGGGAACCCAGGCCTGGTTACTTCCCTAAGTCGGGCACCCCGATACCTGCGTGGGGAGCGTGCCTCATTGCCATGGCCCTGGTGGTATGACCCAGCCCCAAACGCTGTGTTGGTGGGGCCCAGTTGGGCTGTCTGTGAACCCATGGAAGACCAATCCCTTTCATCCACCCACTGTCTTAGCGTTTTCAAAGGGCTTTCACCTCTGAACCCAGGCATCCTCGGAGATGAGTGAGTGAAGCAGGTCCCATGAGTGTCTGCTGGCCCGGCCCCCATGGAAGAGGGGAGGGTGTGCCGTCCCGAGTGGAGCCGAGGCTCGGGACACACAGGAAAGAACGCCGCCCACCCGGGCTCCTGGAGACGGAGAACTTGGTGTGAGGTCTTGGGAAAACAGTTTGACCCTATGTTTCAAGAGCCAGAAAAACGTTTCCACCCCTTGACCTGGTAACCCCGCTGGTGGGGATTTTATCTTAGTGGGATAAGATAACAGGGAAGTGGGAGGTGAGATGCTCACCGCAGCACTGTTTATGCTAGCTAAACACGGGCTGTGATGGATGTCAGAGTGAGAGGGAGATTAAGCTGTGGTCCTCCAGAATACCCTGCAGCCATCACAGCCGAGGGGAAGGCTGGATAAGAAAGGAGAAGTGCTGGGTTGAGTCAGAGAGCCTGCGCGGGGCAGCGCACCGAGGTCACAGCCGTGGTCGTGAGCCAGAGAGTGGATGGGGACGTTGGTGCTGGAGCAGTCGTCCGTTTGCTTTTGTAACACTCTTGACTGAGAAAGTGCGGTTTTATTTTTTTATGTAAAAGGGGAGGGGGTTTGTATCACTGTGAAGATGCTTCCCTGACCGTGTCTCCTGCCAAGGGGTCAGAGCCCTCCTCAGGCCCCCCGCCCCGTGCTGCCTGTCACAGCCCTGGGTGCCTGTGGGGAGACTGCATGGCTAGGCTCTGGGGCCAGGGCCCATCCTGTTCTCAGTCAGCGTTTGTTGAGTCGGGGAATGAGTGAGCCGCAGGCGGCGAGGGAGGCGTCTGCCCCTACAGCCGTAGCTGCGGGCAGTGCCCCCTTTGGTGGCAAAGCCTCTGCACCAGCCAGGCCCAGGCCTCAGCCCCTTTCCTCGCTGCCCCCGCTCCTGGGGACACGCCACGCAGTGGCTCACTGTAGTCTTCCCCCTTCCCGCTACTGGACCTTTAGATGTTGTCTCCAGATCTGCACCTCTTATAAATAAAACTGCAGTGGATGTCTCTGTGTGCACATCTCTTTCCTTTTGGTGAGAAACAACAAAGGTTGGGCCCCGTCTAAGCGTTCTGATGTCCCCTGTCCCATTCTCTGAGTGGCCCTTTCTGACCACTTGTTTGTACAGACCACAGTCCAGGAAGGAAGCAGAAAGACTGTCCCTATCCACATTTCCTCAGTTCCAAACAGGGCTTGGGTGGGTTGTGACAGGAAAATGTTCTTTTTCTTGCTAACGTGGAGGAATCCGCAGAAGTTTGTGTTCAGCCACGTGCTATTGGACTTTGCCTGCATGGGCGAGGATTTCTCCCTAGGTGGGGGAGCAGCTTTGTTTCCAGCCCAGTTCTGTAGAAGTGAACATACTTGTGAATAAACTGGGCCCCCGGGGGCCTGCCTGGAGGGGCGCTGTCCAGTAAACACCAGGCCTCTGGTCATCTCAGGAGCTGTTAGCCATCTTGTTGGAGCCATGGAGGGTTGTGGCCACAGGGACTGATGTGCAAGATGACCGAGTTGATTCTCCAGCCAGGTCCAGGGGCTGAGAGGAGGCCATAGAGAAGGGGTTAGGAGCAGGCACCTGGGCTGGGTCGCCTGAGTTTGCATCCCAGCTTTCTGGCTGTGGGCCCTCAAGCAACTTGTTGCCTCCCGAAGCTCTGTTTTCTCTACCCTGCTTCATCGATTCTAAGATGCACACATTTCCACCTTGTGACTTCTCTGAAATTGAGATGCATCTTTCAGTCAGTGGCGTCTCATAGTCGCTGTCAGCCAGCTGGTATTCGTGATGGAGTTGTGTGAAAACCTTCCGTGGACACCTGCTGAGACCAAGATGGCGCCACATCTACGCATCTTAGATTTGATGAGCTGTGGTAAATAACGGGAGGCGTGCGTGAACTAATGCTGGGGAAGTACTTAGCACTGCTTCTGGTCCATCAGAAGGGGTCAGTAAGGGCTTCCTACCTACGTCCTTTTTGGAGGGTTTCAAGATGACCAGGACAGTGCCCCTGAGGAACTTGGAGTCTCTTGGGAAGATGAGCTGTACCCCCAAGGGAGAACAGGGCAGAATGATTTGGGTCATTTGTGGAAGACAGAAGTCTGTCTAGAGCAGAGAGGACTTTGCAGTGGAGTTGTATGTGAGGTGAATTTCAAAGGATGGTAGGATCTGAGCATGCGAGGGAGGAGGGGGTGGGTTCCAGGAGAGAGCAGCACGCTTCATGCCTGGCTGTGTGCCTGCTGCCCTTCCTGCCTGTGCACAGCCCCTGCTGCTTTGCCCTGGGGTGTGTCTGGGCTTGGGCCATCTGCCTGCCTAGCCCGTGGGCAGAGGACCTGGGCCATTGTGAGCTGTCCTGACCCCAGCTAGCAGCTGAGCTGGACGAGGGCCTGTGACCTCTGGGGCTGTGAGTTCTCTGAGGCATTTTGTTGGGCCGTGGTGACTGGTGGTAAAGCCAGGCTATGGAGGCAAGCTCTGGGCTTCTCCAGGTTTCTGTGAAACTTGGAGTTGATGCCCAGCATTCATCCAATCAGCTGCATTTAGGAGAAAGTTAAAAAAGATTTTACCCTCAACCAGTGTGGAAAATGTCTGGAGTGAAGTAATGGGCCCAGACAAGCTGTAATAATAATACAACAGCGTCAGCAGTCTTCAAAAGCAGCCCAAGTGAGTCAGAGTGTGCTGTCCACGGGCGGTGGCCCAGGGGAGGGTCAATGGGATGTGTCCTGTGGGAAGGTGGGCATCGGTTGTCCTCGCCAGCCCTGGAGGAAACCCGAGCCTGCAAGAACGCCTGGCCTTCCGATGAGGGGTCTTGTGCCCCTGTGTCTGCAAAATTCCGCAGGGATGCTGGAGTGGTGGGTAGGGGGACTTGAACCATTTCCCCATGAAGACGCTCTAGGAGCAAACACGTTTAAGGCTCTTGATGGACATATTGCCAAACTGCTCTCCAAATGGGTGGGGCAGCTTGCACCCCAGTGCCTGCCTCTGCCAGTTAGGCCAAACAGCCTGACCTTTGCCAAAGTGAGAGGCCAAACTTGCCCTTCTTTGATGGCTCGCGCGAGGGTGAGCTTTTATCTTGTGTTATGCCTGTTGGCCGATCTTTTGTGGAATGTCTGTTCATTCTTTGCAGTCTCCTAATGGGATTTTTAATTTTCTCCCCCCATTTTTTGTTATCTGTAAGAGCGTTTTTATAGATTAAAGATACAAGCCTTTGACAAATGTTGTGAGCACTTTTTTCTCGTTTCGTTTAGGTTTCTTTTTTTACTTACAGAAGTTTAACTTTTATGCAGTCACACCTCAATTTCTTCCTTTGGATTTAGGCTCAGAAAATCTCTCCCTACCGTGAGATTAGATAAGCAGTCATTTGTTCTTCTAGTTATTTTAAGATTTCAGTTTCAACATTTTCTTCTATAATCCATGTGGCTAGGTTTGGGGTCTGATTAGCCCCCAGCCATGCCAGTAGCCCGAGGGCCCAGCCCCATTTGTTGAATGGCTGCTCTCCCTGCCCCGCCTGCCCCACCCGCCTGCCCCTGGTCTCTCCAGGAATCATGTTTGTGCAAGAAGAGGCCCTGGCCAGCAGCCTGTCATCCACCGACAGTCTGACTCCTGAGGACCGGCCCATTGCGCGGGGATGCTCTGATTCCTTGGAGTCCATCCCTGCGGGACAGGTAACATCCTCCTCCTGCTTCTGGGGGTTGGTTACCTCTGCGGCCAGCTCTTCTGCCTGAAGCTGTCTGGAAGTATGAGGTGGCCTGGCTGGAGTTGTAGCAGATGCTGCCAGTGCTTGGCAGCTTTGCTTTGTGGTTAAGGGTCTGTTCAGTTAGCGTCTGTCGTCTTGTCTGTCTCTTTCTTTGGACTGATGGGAATAGGCAGTTTTCTCTTACTGGACCCTGGGGGGCAAAGCCACATAACCCTTAGTGCATGTGAGCAGACTCCCTGGGGAAAGTTCAGAAGGCCCTGGTCAGGGGTGGCTTGTTTGGGCTCCACACCCATCAGGCAGTTTCTCCCCCTGCTGTCTGGCACCCCTGGGCCATTTTGCCTGTTTCTGCACGTCACCCACCCTGGTAATCTGGGACACGCTGTGACTCTGTTACTTCTTCCATGGCTGCTCCTGAGGGCCCTGAGCTGCTTCCTGTGTCTTGGAAAGAAAGAGGACGGCAGGTGTGGTGCGAGGGGCTCATTTGCTGTGTGCGTGGGGAGTGTGCTTGGTAGCTGGGCCTGCCCAGCCCTGTCTCTCTTCACCAACACAGTGTCACGGCCGTGTGGCACTGGGGTAGTGGGCAGAGTCCTCGCTCTGTCCCAGCACTCCACTGCACTCTCCCTTCACCCTCCCCAGGGTCACAGCAGGAGGCTCCTGAGCCCTAGGTCTTCCCCGATGCCCAGAGACCATTGGGAGGGCCTTGCCAGGCACTGCACAGCCTCCGCTCACCATGTCCTCTGCTGGCCCGGTACCAAGTTGGTAGATGGTCCACATGGACCCTGTGGGATGGCACAGGGAACATTCAGATGCCATACCTGGAGGCACAAGCTGAGCTTGCGGAGGGCGAGAGGCTTTGGCCCAGGGGTTGGGAGTGTGGGCTGGGGTCAGACCGACACGGTTGGGAATCTTAGCTCTTCTGTGTACTGGCAGGATGACTGAGTGAGTCTCTCTGCCTCTTCTGGGCCCCAGAATCCACCCTAGGGTGGAGTGTGGGGGTAGCAAGGAGTCTCCTGCTGGGCCACGAAGGAGTGCTCGGGGCCTGCCGCCCGGTGAATACCAGGGCATGTCTGCGGCAGGTGGGGGCTGACCGCGTTTCCTTTCCTGGCAGGCACCTTCTGATGATTTGAGAGACGTGCCGGGAGCTGTTGGCGGTGCAAGGTAAGGAAGAGGCCATCGTGGAAGGCATTCTGGGCCTTCTGCACGCACTCTGTGGGCCCGTAGTTACCAAGATTATCTTAAAAGTCTGTTTGCAGAAGTCCTGTAGAACTATTTCTTCCTTTAAATAAATAAACACAGCTGAAATGGGCTCTGGTCTGTTTCCAAGTTCTAATCCCTAAACTTTGCATTGACACGTTATCCTACGCTAGGGGTCAGCAGGTCAAAGCCAATTTAGTCCACTGCCTGTTTTGTACAGTCTGTGAGCTAAAAATGATTGTTCCATTCTTAAGGAGCTGTTTTTAAAAAAAAAAGCGATGTGGGTGGGGTAGCCCCCAAAGCCTCAAGTGTTTACTGTCTTTACAGAAGAGGTTCCCCAACCCATTGTACATACCCTTTTTCACCAGGGCCAATAGAGGCCAAGAGGCGCTTGAATTTACTTTTTAAAATTTTTATTGGAGTATAGTTGATTTACAATGTTGTATTAGTTTCAGGTGTACAGCAAAGTGAATCAGTTATACATATATCCACTCTTTTTAAGGTCTTTTCCCATATAGATCGTTACAGAGTGTTGACTAGAGTTTCCTGTGCTATACAGTAGGTCCTTATTATCTATTTTATATATAGTAGTGTATACATACGAATCACAATCTCCCATTTTATTCCTCCTCCAATTCCCCCTGGTGATCATAAGCTTGTTATCTACATCTGTGACTCTATTTCTGTTTTGTAAATAAGTTTATTTGTACTACTTTTTTTAGATTCCACATATAAGTGATATATGATATTTGTCTTTGTCTAACTTCACTTAGTATGACAATTCCTAGGTCCATCTATGTTGCTGCAAATGACATTATTTCATTCTTTTTTATGGTTGAGTAGTGTTCCATTGTATATATGTACCAGATCTTCTTTATCCATTCACCTGTTGATGGACATTTAGGTTGCTTCCATGTCTTGGCTGTTGTAAACAGTGCTGCAGTGAACATTGGGGTGCATGTAGCTTTTCGAATTATGGTTTTCTCCGGATATATGGCCAGGAGTGGGATTGCTGGATCATATAGTAGTTCTATATTTAGTTTTTTAAGGAACCTCTATACCGTTCTCCATAATGGTTGTACCGCTTTACATTCCCACGAACAGTGCAAGAGGGTTCCTTTTTCTCCACACCGTCTCCAGCATTTACTGTTTGTAGATTTTTTGATGTTGGCCATTCTGACCGGTGTGAGTTGAAACCTCACTGTAGTTTTGATTGGCATTTCTCTAATAATTAATGATGTTAAGCATCTTTTCATGTGCTTTTTGTCCATCTACATGTCTCTTTGGAGAAATGTCTATTTAGATCTTCCACTCATTTTTTGACTGGGATGTTTGTTTTTTTTGATATTGAGCTGCATGAACCGTTTGTATATTTTGGAGATTAATCCCTTGTTAGTCGCTTTGTTTGCAAATGCTTTCTTCCATTCTGTGGGTTTTTTCATTTTTTTTTTTAACATCTTTATTGGAGTATAATTGCTTTACACTGGTGTGTTAGTTTCTGTAGGTTCTTATTAGTTATCTGTTTTATACATATTAGTGTATATACGTCAGTCCCAATCTCGCAATTCATCCCACCACCACCACCACCACCACCCCCCCCCGTTGCTTTCCCCCCCTTGGTGTCCATATGTTTGTTCTCTATATCTGTGTCTCTGTTTCTGCCCTGCAGACCGGTTCATCTGTACCATCTTTCTAGGTCCCACATATATGTATTAATATATGATATTTGTTTTTCTCTTTCTGACTTCACCCTGTAGGACAGTCTCTGGATCCATCTATGTCTCTACAAATGACTCAATTTCGTCCTTTTTTTTAATGGCTGAGTAATACTCCATTTTATATATGTGCCACATCTTCTTTATCCATTTGTCTATCGATGGGCATTTAGGTTGCTTCCATGACGTGGCTATTGTAAATAGTGCTGCAATGAACATTGGGGTGCATGTGTCTTTTTGAATTATGGTTTTCTCTGGGTATATGCCCAGTAGTGGGATTGCTGGGTTATACAGTAATTCTATTTTTAGTTTTTTAAGGAACCTCCATACTGTTCTGCATAGTGGCTGTATCAATTTACATTCCCACCAATAGTGCAAGAGGGTTCCCTTTTCTCCACATGTGGGTTGTCTTTTCATTTTGTTTATGGTTTCCTTTGCTGTGCAAAACCTTTTAAGTTAAATTAGGTCCCATTTGTTTATTTTTGTTTTTATTTTCATTACTCTAGGAGGTGGACCAAAAAAGATATTGCTGCGATTTATGTCAGCAATATATGTATATATGTATACATATACTTATATACGTATACAATGTATACATATACAATATGTATATTTATATACATATATATATACATATACAGTATACGTATATATATATATACATATATTTTAGTTTGCTTGTTTTTTTAATTGAAGTATAGTTGATGTACAGTATTATATGTTACAGGTGTACAATATAGTGATTTAATTTTTAAAGGTTATAATCCAGTTATAGTTATTATAAAATATTGACTATTCCCTGTGTTGTACAATATATCCTTGTACCGTTTTTTTATACATAATAGTTCATATTTCTTAATCCTGTACCCCTATCTGGCCCATCCTTCCTTCCCTCTCCCCATTGATAAACACTAGTTCTCTATATCTGTTTTGTTATAGTCACCAGTTTGTTTTATTTCTTAGATTCCACATAAAAGTGATATCATACAATATTTGTCTGTTTGACTTATTTCACTTATCATAGTACCCTCCAAGTCCATCCATGTTGTTTCAAATGGCAAAATTTCATTATTTTTATGGCTGAGTGGTATTCCATTGTACATATGTACCACATCTTCTTTATCCAGTCATCTGTTGATGGACACTTAGGTTGCTTCCATATCTTGGCAATTGTGAATAATGCTGCTATGAACATTGGGGCACATCTATCTTTTTGAATTAGTGTTTTGGTTTTTTGGGGGTGTATACCCAGGAATGGAATTGCTGGGTCATATGGTAGTTCTATTTATTTTATTTTATTTTATTTTATTATTTTTGCGGTACGCGGGCCTCTCACTGTTGTGGCCTCTGCCGTTGGCGGAGCACAGGCTCCGGACCCGCAGGCTCAGCGGCCATGGCTCACGGGCCCAGCTGCTCTGCGGCATGTGGGATCTTCCCGGACCGGTGCACGATCCCATGTCCCCTGCATCGGCAGGCGGACTCTCAACCACTGCGCCACCGGGGAAGCCCTATTTTTAGTTTTTTGAGAAACCTCCATACTGTTTTCCACAGTGGCTGCACCAAGTTATATTTCCACCAACAGTATATAAGAATTCCCTTTTCTCCACATCCTTGCCAACATTATTTGCATTCTTTCTGATGATAGCCATTCTGACACATGTGAGGTGATAGCTCATTGTGGTTTTGGTGTGCATTTCCCTGATGATTAGTGATATTGAGCATCTTTTCATGTGCCTGTTGAGTGCTGCCTATATTTTCCTCTAAGAGTTGTATAGTATCAGGCCTTACATTTAGGTCTTTAATCCATTTTGAGTTTATTTTTGTGTACGGTCTTAGGGAGTGTTCTAATTTCACTCTTTCACATGTAGCTGTCCAGTTTTTTCCCAGCACCACTTATTGAAGAGACTGTCTTCTCTCCATTGTATATTCTTGCCTCCTTTGTCATAGATTAGTTGACCATAGATGTGTGGGTTTATCTCTGGGCTTTCTCTCCTGTTCCATTGATCTATATTTCTGTTTTTATGCCAGTACCAAACTGTTTTGATTACTGTAGCTTTGTAGTATAGTCTGAAGTCAGGGAGGCTGATTCCTCCAGCTCCGTTTTTCTTTCTCAAGATTGCTTTGGCTGTTCGGGGTCTTTTGTGTTTACATACAAATTGTGAAATTTTTTGTTTTACTTCTGTGAAAAATGCCAGTGGTAATTTGATAGGGATTGCATTGAATCTATAGATTGCTTTGGGTAGTAGAGTCATTTTGACAATGTTGATTCTTCCAATCCAAGAACATAGTACATCTCTCCATCTGGTTGTGTCATCTTTGACTTCTTTCATCAGCATCTTATAGTTTTCTGAGTACAGGTCTTTTGCCTCCTTAGGTAGGTTTAGTCCTAGGTATTTTATTCTTTTTGTTGCAATGGTAAATGGGAGTGTTTCCTTAATTTCTCTTTCTGATCTCTTGTTGTTAGTGTATAGGAATGCAAGAGATTTCTGTGTATTAATTTCGTATCCTGCAAATTCACTGATGAGCTCTAGTAGTTTTCTGGTAGTGTCTTGAGGGTTCTCTGTGTATAGTATCGTGTCATCTGCAAACAGTGACAGTTTTACTTCTTCTTTTCCAATTTGGATTCCTTTATTTCTTCTCTGATTGCCATGGCTAGAAATTCCAAAACTGTGTTGAATAAAAGTGGCAAGAGTGGACATCCTTGTCTTGTTCCTGATCTTAGAGGAAATGCTTTCAGTTTTTCACCATTGAGAATGATATTGGCTGTGGGTTTGTCTTATATGGCCTTTATTATGTTGAGGTAGGTTCCCTCTGTGCCCGATCTCTAGAGACTTTTTATCCTAAGTGGGTGTTGGATTTTGTCAAAAGCTTTTTCTGCATCTATTGAGATGATCATATAGTTTTTATTCTTCAGTTTGTTAATGTGGTGTATCACATCGACTGATTTGCATATATTGAAGAATCCTTGCATCCTGGGATAAATCCCACTTGATCATGGTGTATGATCCTTTTAAGGTGTTGTTGGATTCTGTTTGCTAGTATATATATTTTTAAACATCTTTATTAGCGTATAATTGCTTTACAATGGTGTAGTAGTTTCTGCTTTATAACAAAGTGAATCTGCTATACATATATCCCTGTATCTCCTCCCTCTTGTGTCTCCCTCCCACCCTCCCTATCCCACCCCTCTAGGTGGTCACAAAGCACCGAGCTAATCTCCCTGCGCTATGCAGCTGCTTCCCACTAGCT